TGACTCCCCGCAAACGGATAAGGACGAAAACCCAAGACTCTAAACCCTAAGCTAGATAAACCCTGTATAAGCCCGTATAGGACTCTTTGGAACCCTCATCGACCCCCTTAAAGGAATCCTAAGCCCCTAAAACCCTAAACCCTAAACCCTAAACCCTAAACCCCAAACCACTAGAAAAGCTGACAGCCCCCCAGAGTCTCCCTACAAATGGATCCGTTAAGGGTTGCTTCAAGGGGCTACCTTTCAAGGGGTCTCTATAAGGGCTACCATAAGGGCTCTATGAAGGTACTTCAAGACTTCGAGGAGCCTTACTTTGAAGAATAGGTTGAATAGGGTCTTGAGATATGTCAAAGTTTTTCTGTATAACAGGGAATCCTGGGGAATAGTGTTTGAGTTCACAGGCACTCCCGGACTGACCTGGTACAGAAGATTGCACCAAAAGAAGTTCCCGGCAAACTCGCGCGTTTTGTCCATCTTCATGGCCTCGTCAAAGAGCTTCTTGCTGTAGGGTGTCTTCATTGTCTGCAACCCGAATGCATCCAGCTCCTTGCCCAGAGGGGGCGCCGAAGAAGCAGCATTGGCCTGAGAAGGCTGCCCAACGTCTGGCTGAACAAAAGCAGAAGCAGTGTTGCCCCCATCTTGTCCAAAAATAGATCGCGGAGCCACCGGCAAAGTAGGGGCGGGCACGGAAGCAGTTGCGTCCAAGCCCGAGTAGCCTTGCCAAGGGTCGACCAAAGGATCGGTCGAGGGCCCCGAAGAAGCACCGCCTCCAGGTGCCGAAGACGAAGGAGGGCGCGCTGACACCGTCCAGCCGCGATCCTGAAGCAAAGCGATCAGGGTGTTCGCAAGGACCTGATCCGGATGAGCCATGCTGCAAAAGCAGTGCAATGCTAACTTCAAGCTTGAATATAAGGATCCGCAAAAATAGGGTACCCCTATTTCCAAAAACGCCCAGCTATGTAAGGCCCAAGTGTTGTGTTTAGAGCAACTACAGATCCCTAATCAGCCTGTTTGCAAACAGCCTGGCCCTCCAGGAACCCTGTTAGAACCTCTGAGCGAGGAACCCCGAAGTGTGCAAGTACCTAAGAATCAAGGTTTAGGGTTTCGGGGTTTAGGGGTTTAGGGTTTAGGGGTTTAGGGTTTAGGGGTTTAGGGTTTAGGGGTTTAGGGCTTATAGGGTTTAGGGTTTAGGGGTTTACGGGGTTTACGGGGTTTAGGGTTTAGGGTATCAAGTAATCTCTCAAAGACTAACCAGCAGAACTACGTACGATCCCACCCGAACCCCAGATTTCCCCTATTCTTGGGTTTAGGGTTTAGGGTTTAGGGTTTAGGGTTTAGGGTTTAGGGTTTAGGGTTTAGGGTTTAGGGTCAAGTCTAAGCCTGAACCCTGAGCCCTAAGTCTCTAGGCCTCCGATACCGGAAGTCCTTGCTGGTTGCTTAAAGGGGGAGTGCGAGAGTGAATCCTTACGGCTAGGGATATAAATACTGCATTGCCCACTATATGCCATAAATCCCCATAGTTTAGGGTCCTTAAGGTAATGCAGGATTTCTACTATCAACAGTATCAAGATCCCTGAACAAGGCCCTACAGTAGTCCCCCTATTCCCTCCTCCACGGAGACATCGGAAGGATCTAACAACCTGCCGTCCCCCTTAGACACCAGTAGAAGTCTCAGCCCTCAGAGCGAGGGGCATGTCCGGATTCTTCAAACACATCGGATCCTTGCAAATGCTGTACCTGGCGGTTTAGGGTTTAGGGTTTAAGTTTAGGGTTTAGAGTTCAGGGACGTCTTCGGTGACTTCCACGTTAACAAGGGTTCCTGTAAGGGTCCGAAGCCGTTTCGGTGAGGAAAGCTGGTTGACGGAAGCTGAGTACCTAGTTGGAGGATCATGGGCTTAGAAGTACGGCTACAAGTACCTTGATTCGGGCAATAGTTAATGTTATATGATACACTCATACAAATTATATGAGTGTAGGGCCCCGAACAATGACCCTAGTTACTAAATTCCATGATTTAGGGTTCAGGAGCAACATTAGCGTTGCTGCCAGTCGTGTTTGGGGCTGGAAGGGATGGGGCAACCACCAAAGACTCCAAGACCTATATGTCATTAAGGGATATCCCTTAAAATACAATGGGACCTCCGATATGAGTTGAAGAGTATTCCTTAGTTCAACGTTTTGGGGAGTCTTGGGGAAGTTGAATTTAAATAAAACCAAGCGACGGAATGAACAAGTCGCGCATGGCAATCTCGTCACCCTGGTACACTACCGGCGTGCCCGGCAGTAAGTTGAAGAAGTTGTACACCTCCACGGCGGGAGCGGCATCAGGGTTTAGGACTCTAAACCATGTACTCTATACTCTTAACCCTAGCCGTTATGGCTTCTTTTCCATGAGCTTTGGTGTGCTCAACCTGTCAAACGCAAAGTTTCAGCTTTCAGCTGCCTACGACAGAGGTTTAACATGGATCGTGTCCCCGTAAGCCCTGCCATGCCGCAACCCTAAACATCCTCCGAACCCTAACGGCCCTCACTTAAATGGCTCCTAGAGCCAAAACCCCCCAATCCCTCAAATGGCTCCAACCCTAAACCCCTAAACCC